AAAAAATACATTCCATCGGTTATACTGTCAACTGATGCCTTCATTTTTGGTCTATGTCACTCATTTTCAAGTTCTTCGCTCTAAAGTCCTCGTATGACAACGTGTTGAGTGAGAAGTAACCGTCTTTTGTGAAATATGCAAAAATCTTGCGTGTCTATTCTTGTTTACCAAACTTGCGTTTTAAACGACACTCATTTTTTAAACGCAATACAAACAAGTGTACCTGTTCAATCTAGGGTCTTTGAGACAGCAGTTGGCTTTCTCCTCCACTTTTAGACAAAGAAATGACCTCTACTAAAGACTTGTTTCTAGCTCATTTGAACGGATAAATTGAACAGAACCCCCAATGGGCCGGGCGATCCAAGACGAATTATTTGCCATTGTAAAAAAAAAAGCTATCTCAAAAGATCTTTGTGAAATACGCAGACAAGTGACTAAATACATTGACGAAATTGAAACCTATGATTCAAACGTGGGAGAACATTCAACTTTCCATCAGTTATACAGAGACAAGATGGCGGCTTTTCTAGCTTATGTCGCCTATTTACAAATCAGATATCGTGCTGTGTGAACAAATAAATCATATGCAAAAAACCAAATGTTGTACTTAATTCCTCCGCCATCTTTGATTCCTTTGTTACCTTTTGTACCGTTAATTTTTAAAAACTAAAACCCTACTCACGAACCTATGCGAAATTTAACCCTAACCCCTCCTATGCCCACAGTGATTTATTCCTAACCCTAAAAACCCCTCGTACACCTACACTGATTTAACTCTAACCCTAAAAACCCCTCGTACACCTACACTGATTTAACCCTAACCCTAAAAACCCTTCGTACACCTACACTGATTTATCCCTAACCCTAAAAACCCCTCCCACACCTACGCGGATTTAACCTTAACCCTAAAAATTACCCTCGCGTACCTACACGGTATGAATAACTAATTAGATCTTACTCGGCCGAGCAACTCGGACCCAGACCTCTCGGGTATTTTCATACAGGCGTGCTATACTACTAAAAATTATACAAACATGTGTTTGTTCATATATATTAGTTTTCTTATATCTGTTGTCTATAAAAACTTGTTCAGATATTAAAGACAAAATTATTTTTTGAGTAACGCAAAAAGTACTTTGCAACTGGTTGATGTTCGTATACACGCCAAGCACCATATCAATCTATAATAAACTTGACGATTTGTGGTATTGATCATTTAAGAGTATCAAAAATTAGTATTACCATGTCATGAACACATATGGGAGTTACGTCATTTCAATTTTGTGCGAAAAAGGTTGAGTTTCAGTCACTAATAAGAGCCCAGTCAACTGAACTCTTTCAGTCTCGGGATGTATCAATCTCCTGCACACCGGCTGAGGTTTAAATCTCTCGAGGTAAACGAAGAACAAGTTTCGACGATCATGTAAGAAAAATCGGAAAGTTTCCATCCTCAACACCGAACTTAATAGGGGAACAAAGGCAGGAGGTAGAAGATTAGGGGTCTCACGCAAACAGTTGGATGTATGGATAATGTGAAAAAGTAACAAACACTTCAATACACAACGTGATATTTTAAACTGTTTCTAACTCTAAGACCTCATGGCTTGAGCGATGTAACTCTTTGTTAACTGTTTATCACTGCCAAATATTTAATTATTCAACTTAAGAAGCCCCCAAGAATTTGGCTTGAAAATCTTAAAAGAAGGATCAATAATAATTATTACTAAAACACATTAGGGAATGTGTTAATGATTACGCCAACACCTCGACAACAAATGATCAAGGACCTGCGACCCGAGACCCACAACTCGCAAATATTAGATTTACCCCAGAATAGACGTCTGTAAGTAATAGATTTTCCCAATAATCAATATTTTGGATGCTTTTTAGGGATAACACTATCGGAAGAGTCAAACCAGTAAAGCTCACTGAAGTGACTGAATGGCATTGAGCAACCGTTCAAAATAGTTCGATTTGGACGATCAGATCTATTGAATATAAACATCTATTCAATTACGAAGAAAGGCTTTTAGTCAAAATAAACACCTACTTGAAACTCAAAGCCCTTCCGAGGAAAACGATCAGACATAACGGGAGAAAGATACTTCTAAAGATAAAATTACATCTTTGTCTTATGGTATGAAAGATTCTTGGACCTCAGAGGCCAATTAGAATGTTCATCTCAGCTCTTTTGACATGAATTTAAAAACAGGGCCAAGTTTCAGAGTTTACTCCTTACTAACAAAAAGAAAGAATAGACTGGCTGTGTAGTTCAGCGCTGATAACTTAAGCTTATTAATCCGGAGATAAAGTCAAGTTTGTCAGCTGAATTGTATTTTCTATCAGTTGGCCGAAATAACTGGAGGGAAAAAGGGAAAAAGGAAGAGTCAAATGTCTGGTCTTCCGAACTTTCTTTTTTGGCGGCTTTTCGAAAGACAAAACGATCAGTTTCACGGTTATACTGACTGTAAAGTCAAGTTCAGCAGGCCACGAGAATGCAAATCAGAATCCTTTCAACATCGCCTTACAGGTTTTCTCTTATTTTCACCGACACTAATTCGTTTACTAGAAACAATTGATAGTCATTTTAGACGTACGGAAACATAAGAGTGTTTTTTCCAAAAGAACTTCGTAATTTTCTTTCATATGCTTATTGTCAAAACGCACACAGGAAGCTTTCTGGAACAGCCGAAAGATATCAAAGAACTTATCTCTAAATCTAAGTTTCTTTCATATAAAGGCTGTGAAATGTTGTTTACTGAATTCACTAAATCAGAAAGCTAGTTTAGCTCGTTAATTTCCATGCAATTATTAATTAATTGTTAGACCGTCTGTCACCCGACCACAGCACACGTAAATTCTCGCAAGGGAATCATGTTATCAAAAATCAACATAGACACTTTTTATGTTCTTGTTGGCTCGTGAAATTGGAAACTGTTCCTATAGTTGATTAACCCTTGGGAAAAAAGAAAGTTTTTGGAACTTGCTTGGAAAACAACCAGCAACGGATATCAGTTTTGCATTTGTTGACATTTACCGCCGCTGATAAAATATTGCGTTTTCACCGCTTGTTGTGTATTTATCATCTGCGTTGAGATCTTGGTTTCTCAAGAATGCACAGGTCTATGGAAAAAGCCCTTCTATGCCTGCTGTTTTACTTTAATTTTGTAGGTAAGTTAGTAACTTTAATTTTTTGAAAGCCTTTGCGATGTTCCCTTCCAGTGAAATGAGACACATTTACATACGGTTTAGCTTAACTGTTTGAAAGATCTGTAACCCAAATATATCGATATTTTAGCGAAAGAATTTTTGCAAAATGTAATTTTCGTGTCTTCATATTCGAATTTAAAGTTCGTGGTTGTTTTAGGGGTAAAAACTGAAAAGCGAGAAGTAATCGAACCCTAACTTACCTGCCTTACAGAACAAAAAAAAAACTGCAATCATACCTATTTATATGTGGTGACAAAATTTACTGGTGTTTAATTTTACTATGTAGATGAAAGCCATTCAGATTTTTGTCCGGCGGGAATTTGACAAGGTGAAAAAAAAAAAAAACTGTTACATTAAGTTAGCACTTGATTGTTGGGTGATCTAGCTTTATTTAAAAAATATTGCAGTGTTAATTTTTTATAACTTGCGACTGGTATTCCTATATAATCCTGAATTTACAGATTGTTGAGAAAATACTTATTCTTTCCTTGACAGATGGGAGCAAACAACATTACGACGACTTGGAAAGACTCCAAAACCATTTATTCGCAAACTACAGTACAAACATCATTCCACAGAAAGAGAAGACAACTGCTGTAAAAGTAAAGTTTGATATAGCTCTCAATCAAATCATTGACTTGGTAAGTTTTGCAGTGTCCTTCAATTAAGAAACCTAATCTGCAAAACCCGTATGGCTTAGTGCATGTCTCTTAACATGTTAACTGAGGTTTCGGGGGTGCTAAAATAAGGTTTCAATTGCAAAGACAGAACAACTGACATTGGTCGCGTACATTTATCTCAGAAGAAATATACCATTAGTTTCATGTTTGTAGCCTGATAGCTTTTAATCAAATTACACGAATTGCGGAAATATCGAGCATAGTTTCTTCTCGCACAAATTGGGACGAAAAACTCTTCAGTTTTAAACAATGCTCTCGGAAGATGAGAGGTCATAATTTCACAGTTTCAAAATAATGCAACACGACAAAGACAAAAAGAAAACAAAAGAGAATATTGCTAGTGCCTCATTTACTGTTTCCCAGCCAGTTTTATGACTGTGGTGTAAGCACACATTAATAATACATGGTTATCATACGTCCTGTGGCGGTTGGGAAAATAGCCTAAAGATAATTACTCATATCAGACCCGCTGGGCCGTGGGACTTCCAATCTTGGATTTCAAAGTTTGCGCTGGCGAACTTTGGCGTATTCCTGATGCTCAGCTTGGCGGCCCTAAAAATGAATGTATTTTGCTTTATAAATTTCTCAATAACCATCGATTGCATGTGGAGCATTTTTGATGGGCTATATATGTTTTCATGGAAAATTTATATATTTACCGAGTTAAGGCTAAGTGGGTCATCCATCTCTGTCGGATGTTCGGTTACTAAACAAGAAAGGATGGCACATTGGATAATGCACTGAATAGAACCGTCAGTAGAGATAAAAGTAAAAATTCAAAACTGAAGGAACACAACACTCTCTCCTTTTCCTTTTGTTTTTTTGTGTAGCACAGTACTTAGACTGTCTTGTCGTTTTATGGATGTAATGAACATTTATAGTGCGATATTTTAGCTTCATATCTTACAAATGGTTCAAATCGTTTATTTGAAATTTTTTTAGATACCCCTGTGCGACACGGATGTGATCGATATCGAATGGAAGTGTAAAGGCAAATGGGACATTCAAAAATGAATTGGGCTTGTTAAGACAAACTATTCTTTTTAAAGTATGGTGAGAGAAAAAAATTACAAATAATTAAAAACAACCCTATATTTCAAGGGATGCATCAAGTGCCTGATACGTCATATTTCTTACTCGTGTGAAAATATATTATCTATTCACTTGTCGTAGATTCCAATTTATCCATCCCAACCCCCGCAACTGGATTTTAGTTGAAAACTTAATTGGACAGGCTGGAGTGGGGCATTTGTACGAAGAAATTTGTCGAAAAGGGTAAAACTCCATGTAATGTTTTAAAGGACAAATTCGCACTCATTTCAAATATTTTACAGTAACAAAGTCCAATATCCTCACGAAAAAGTTTCTCTTGAAGGAAAGGAGGAAAGTGAACGGAGTGTTTGTGAAGAACTCAATCTGCTTTTTGAGACCATTCTCCTTTAGAGTTCATCTGGATGCTAATTAATTTTTTTCATAAGGTGAATACAATGCCTCTGCAAAAAAATACAGATTCGACAGCTCTTAAGGTTATCAAAGTCAGTGTACAACATATTTACAATGCTTTAACTAACTGACTCTTAAGTTTTTCGGATGTGACGTTGAGTACTTTACAATCGAGAAATCTAAGAATCACTATATTCTATACAAGGCCAAGAGATTAGGAAAATATAAAAATGTTTGAACCAAACATTTTCGGCTGTTTGCCATCATCAGGGTTGAAAATAATAACCGTCTACACATACATATATATCTTATGTAATTCCCGATGGGAAAATTTTGGAGACATAAGAATCTTGTGTAATTCCCGAATCTCCAAACTTTTCCCATCGGGGAAGACGGTTATTATTTTTAACCCTGATGATGGCAAACAGCCGAAAACGTTTGGTTCAAACACTTTAATTTTTTCCTAATCTTTTAGCCTTGTATAGAATATACTTTACTAAGCGAACATTATGGACACCTAAGAATCACTGTTTTCAATCATTTCCATTGGACTTAAACTAAAAAATTTAAACGCGATTGACTAGACACGGTAACAACACTTTCAAACGTTATAACTAACAGCGTGCAAGCGAAATATTTATTTCTGGCGTCCATTGCCCTGACAATAATTTTTTGAAAGGGAAGTTTTTTTTTTTAATGCCAATCAAGTTCCAATGCGTCAAAGCTGAGCTATTTCAGGGGTATAATTCACAGATTAAAGCTATCAGATGTGGGTCAAATGTTGCCATCAGGTTTAAAGTATTCTACCCCAAAACTTGAGTGCTCTAGCCCCGGGCTCTATCATTACGTTTGACCTCCAAGATAAGGGAAACTTCATATCAGTTCTAGCGTAACCAACGCCTGAAGCCTAAGAGCTTTCACCAGCTTTGATTCATTTGCAGTTTCTTATTTTTTCGCAATTTCTTATTTTCAATGATGCTCTCGTGATTCCCGGATGCCCGAGGACCCCTTGGCCCTGTGTTCGCATTTTGTACATTAATAAGCCTCGCTTTGACGGAGAATTTTGCCGTATTTAAACACAAATGTCCCAGCTGCCTAAAAGTGTATCACAGGAAGAAAATATTAGGTGTTATTTGTTAAAACTTTGAACTCTTCATTGAGGAGGTAAATACTTTTTCTTCCCTTCTGCTGCTGATGATTTTCTTTTCTGTGCTGGTATTTCACAGGATGAAAGATTACAAACCATGACTACCATTGTGTGGGTGAGACTGGTAAGACTACACTTATAAAACCAAAATACGATTCGTCTTGAAAACAATGATATTTGAACAAATGTTTTACCCAGCTTACTTACACCGTTAGCAATGGGTCGTTATTTTGAGTCAAGACAGCTGCAACACTAATTTATCCTTGTCTTTTTTTCCGGACAAGCCGGTTAGTTTCATTTATTGTGTGAACTATGTAAGCTAGATGTATGTTCCTCTTGAGATTGTTTGAAAAGTTGGAAACGAGCCACTGACTTAAAACGTGTGAAATCATCTGTACCAAATTTCCTTTTTGTCTTATCTTCTCTTCAGTATTGGAGCGACTTCAGATTAAAGTGGAACAGCTCTGCGTATGGAGGAATTAAGTCTTTTGTCACTTCTTCAAAGAAAGTTTGGCTTCCAGATATTACCCTGTACAACAAGTGAGTATTGATAGTTTGTTTCGTACTTTAAAGAATGATCGTTCTACTCTGCGGAAGTGTTGTCTCACGGTGTCGAATAAAATGAGATGGAAGTGACTGAAAAGAAATCATGTCATGATTTTTGCTAAAACATCCTAATGGATGACCAGAATAACATCCATAATTTGTTTTAAGTTAATGTTTCTCTGAAAATTTTAAGAACAAGCGTGGAGCAACTTCTCATTGAGATTTATCAAATTCACTCACTAAATTTTTTTATTTTTATGGAAGTTAAAAATGAAGGCTAAAGAGGCAAAAGATTGCGGAAACGAACTATTTTTGGAAATAAATAATAGTAATGATAATAAGTAGTCTTCATTACTGCGAGGATCGCTTTCATATACATTTCTTAATCATACCGCAATGCACACACAGATGACTTTCACATATTTTAAGTCTTCGAACTATCTTTGTTTCATTTCTGTGTATAGCGCAAACGACAATTACGACAAAGAAAAAGAGGAGTATTATGGCCTTACAATAAGTTCCAAAGGCAACATAGGCTGGTTCTACCCAACAATATTTAAAAGTTCCTGTACTATTGACGTCACTTATTTTCCTTTTGATGATCAGGTAAGAAGGTATGGTGACTGAACAATATGGTATGGTTAATTGAACAATATGCCTAACTGTATTGAGGTATCAATGGTTTATCCAGCATATTCACAATATGAAGATGCTAGAGACTAAGTGGAAACCCGTTTTGAATTGTAATTTGCTAGGTACATAGGTGTGTAACAGAAAAACAACTGTAAAAAGTAGTGTAAGAATTGTAGTCTAAGGAAGTGTTGTATAGTAAGTAGTAGCTTTGTTCTCATTGAGCAGTCATAACCTAAATGCTAAATGGTGCCGAGAAAAAAAACAAATTGTGAGTTGGTATATTCATGTCATGGGCACATGGGCGAACACTAGACCTTTCGATCCACAAACTTTAACAACGATATCTTTCAAACTTTTGTTTAGAAATGTATCCTCAAGTTTGGCTCTTGGTCATACCATGGCCTGGGTCTGGACATATTCCACAGTGGACCAGGTGACACCGAGGCATTTACAGATAACGGTGAATGGGTTCTAGTCGGTATGCCTGTAACCAAGTTCATCACTAAATATCGGTGTTGTCCAGAGCCCTATCCATTCATCACGTACAACGTTGTAATTCGCCGTCGAACTATGTATTACATCCTGAACTTCTTAACGCCTTGTGTTCTTATGTCGGCTTTGACAATCTTGGGTTTTTTCCTTCCAGTGGAGTCGGGCGAGAGAATGAATGTGGGTGTGACGGTGCTACTGTCGCTAACTGTGATACTTCTTTTGTTAGCCGAGGAGCTTCCAGCCACATCCGAGGTAGTTCCTCTCATTTCACGTTACTACACTATTACAATGATAAACGTTTTCATCTCGATTGTTTTCACTTGTGTTGTCCTTACGTTCCACCACCACGCACCGACCCCTCTGCCGGCTTGGGTCCGACTCTTTATTTGTCAGTGGTGCGCAAACACACTACGGGTGAAGAGAAATAGCAATACAAACGAATCGTGCCTCTCGGCAAGAAGGTTCTTTAAAAATCGCAGCATGAGGAGACACTCACTCGGAGAGAGGCTTTACAGCGAGGAAAACGCAGAGAATTCTACGACAAATCCATTTAATAACGCAAATCAAACACAGCCACCCGGCTCAGCATCGACTGCATCAATTCAACTGAAGAAGCTCGATGATAGAAATCCTAATTTGCGGAGGCGATCAAATCAAGTTTCAAAAAAGTCCGAAGCTTTGGACGTTCTTGTACAAAGGACTAAGAAAGACGACGAGAAAGAAAGGCATGTCGAAGAATGGCACTTTGCTGCCAAGGTGCTTAATCGATTGTTCATGTGGATTGTTCTGTTCTTAGTTGTATTCAATTGTCTTAGTGTTTTATTTTCGGCTCCGAGTGAGAACCTCAGCTAAATCCAATTAAAACTTATGTTTGTTATTAACGGAAAGTTCGCGTTTGTTAAGGCCAAACTGAACCTGGTCGATAGGAAGACGCTCTGGTATTAACGGAGCATATGAACACCTCCATCCCTGCTCCGCCGAGTTCAATTGCTTCAGTCCATGCGCACCCAGCTGCTCGTCAGGATAATTAAATTAAAGAACTTACTGCCCCAATGAAGAAAGAAACAAATTGCCCGAAAATGTTAAGGAATGATAATTCCTTGGATAAGTTAATAAAATATCTAAATAAGATTAAGTGAAAAGATACTGAGAATCGATCGATAATTCTGCGACACTGACAAGTAAATAAATACTTGAAAAGAAAAACTATGCCCTGTAAGAAAATAGCAACATAATTACAAGGGATGAGTCGTTCAAAACATGCTGCAAGGACTTAAAATGCATGAAGTCACTCTTAATGCCAGTTTTCCGTCCTTCCGTTGTTCTGGTTGTACGAGCTGATGACCAATAGGCTACTGATCAGCACCACTCCCTTAGACCCTGTGGAAACATAGACTATTTTCCATAGGGCAGTCCTTCCGATACGTTGCGTTGCAGGACAAACCAAATGTAATAAATATGGAATAAAAAAAGTAAGGCTGTAATAATATGGGTAATATGAAGTAATTAAATAACAATTTATGGTTATTCTGAACTTCAATAAAGATAAGTAAACGGAGACGTGGTTGAACACTCATGTTCCAATGTTTAACGAACGAACCTTTCTTGTTCGGTATTTAAAGTTATACAAGAAATATCAGTATGTACTATGTTCATTAATGGATTCAAGTTATAGAAAAATACCTTTAACTGTGTTATGAGACTACTCAACCCGTAATTAGCGTGGTAGGACTAATAAGGCTTAACTGTGGTCCACATTTTCTGTTCCTAGCAACAGCGAAGACCTCTCTATACACGGTCAAGAAAAACGCTCCACAATATTTTCGTTGGAACCTCTTTCATCATAAGATAATTTGGATATATCAACTGAGTTGAAGACGTAAATTGGCGACCGTAAAGAATTTCTAAAGCAGACGTTTCGAGTGTCAGCCCTTCGTCAGAGCGAACAAAAACTTACCCACTCCATTCATTTCTAGTTCATCATGGATAATCGAGACCATCATACTGAAATTTCTAATTTGGCAGCCACAGCACGCAATGAACCCAATTTTCCATAGGAACAAGCATTTGTTTAACAAAAAGGATGTCACAAATTAATAAAGCGAGAAAGCGATCTGTTTTGACATTGTATAATCCTTTTAAATACATCTCAATTTATTCTATCTGGAAAACATTTAAGAATCAATAGCAGAGTCGAAAGATTTTTCGGTCATTACAGATGTCTTCGTTATAACTTCACAGAAAACCATTTTATCGTCACAATGGTCTTCAAGACCCCACTAGTTAAACACAATGAAAAATAAATGAAAAAAAAAAAAAATAGGGAAATAGCTAACCCAACAAAGGAGACCCTCTACAAACTGTCAGATCCCTTTCACACTACTTTCACCCTTCTTGCCTGAAACTACAGTTTTAAGGGTTTCTAACGTGGTGAGAGTAATCTCTTTTGTTTGGAAGCTATGAGAGGCTGCCAGTGATAGTATGAACATTTTTTTATTTCGAAGTTTTCCGATCGTGCTCAACGCTGCGTTCCCTGAGGGACCAGGCTAAAAATGCCTTGGTGTAACTAGTACTACAAGAAATATTCATTTTACGAAACGCTTCTTTTAATAATAAATTCAGCGGCCTAACAACTGTAGGTCATATGAAATCTACAGTGCTGTGACCTCATGACCGGTTTCTTTGGGACCGAAGTTTTCAATTTTAGCGTCAGTTTCTTTTTTTAATTGTTTTGTGTATTGCTCTGCATGTTACTCAGCGCGTGGTTTGTTGTCACCTGTAATAAAAGCACTATAATAGTGGTTTTGCAACATTCATCAATAAAAAAGATCAGAAAGATTCCATCAAACAGGACACTTTTATAACACCAAGTTATACGACCATGAGCTTTGATTACGTATTGGTGTTAGGGTTCCATGACCCTCACGAAGAAAATGATAAGAGAAGGTCTCCAGAAATATAATTCAAAGTTCTGCAATAAATTTAATTCTAGAAGCTGCAACACTGAAACAATACAAGTCTTTCCTGGAGTTCTTATTGGAAACGTAATTGCAATAAAGATGATTACATCAACCACTGACAGAGCAATTTGTATGTTTTCCCACAGGTACTATAATTCCCTAAGAAAAGAGGAATGGTTAATTACCCACCAATAGCGTAACCGATAAGATAAATACAATTCCGAAGCCACCTGTTTTATCAGTCTAGCCAATTATTTGGGTCGAAAATATCTGCACTGTAAACATACAGCCTTCTTCACGCGGATGTTCGATTGTACATCTTTGAGGTATGCAGAGAGTTGTGTCGCAGAAACTAAAAAAATTACTTCAATAACGTGATGGGAAGTTGTTAGTGTCTACCTCATCAACAAGAATGATTTCTTGCCAATTCCAATTTTTCCATTTGACTGGCTTGGTTTTAGTTTTTGTTATTGGCATCTTGCGTTCAAGCGAAGGTAAGTTTTAATTATGCGCTTAAATAAAAATCTTGCAACGACATTTTATTTTGAAATATGACAGAGAAGATATTATACATTCTTCATGCAAATTTCTGGGAGCGACGGATGTTTGTCAGTTATTGCTAATACGGATATTTTTTCAGATTTGAAATGCCTCGATTCTGCTCTGTTTACTAGTGGAAAAAGTAGAAGAAAATCGGCTTAGAGTAACAATCTTCCTTAACACGAATCCTGAGAGTTCCGCCAGTTGATTAACTAATTGAATGTTTTAGAATTATTGAGGAAAGAGTTAGAATTAGAAAGGAGGATTCGTCTTTATTATTACATTATTAAGATTTTCTAGTCGACAAATAAGTGCTGCAGTTTGGTAATTTCCGCTTCCCTGGAAATTGAAGGGAAATATGTGGATCGCGATATGAATAATATTAGGAACCCAATTGTTTGTTGCACTCCGCGTAGACGGTCAAATGCATGTACTTGTTTTATACTGCAAGGAGAGGGGTCCAACATTTGAGCGCAGCGTGATGAATGTATTTCATCTCATAGACGTTTGCGGCAATGTACAACTCATACGACATGAAGTACTGGTGAAATTGTTTTGTATATATTACGAGGGACAAGGTAAAAAAAGAGAATTTTGCAAGAGCTCCGCGTCTAATAGTCTATGTACCATGGCAAAATAAACGCGTAACTATGCAGTAACTGCAAAAAATTATCAAAAAAAAATTTTCGTTACTAAACTAAACAACATAAATATCTGGGATGAGTACACAAAAGCGATTTCCTATCTTTAAAAACTAAAATGAATTAACCGAAGAAGATTTTCGATTTACGTGCTTCTTGCATCAGACTGACAAAGGTTTTACATCGAACATGTTCCATAGGGTGTTGAATATGCTGACTTATTTATTAGGTAATTGGTTATATCAACTAAGTTGAAATTGTAAATTGGCCACCGTAACAAGTTAAAAAGCTGAAATTTCGAACGTTAGCCCTTCTCAGAGCCTCTGACGAAGGACTAAAGCTCGAAACGTCAGCTTTTAACTCGTTACGGGGGCCAATTTACAATTTCAACTTAGTTGATATAACCAATTACCTTGTTACCCCCGCCGAAGCAGCACCACAGTTTCTTTAGAAACTTTCATCCTTTATTTATTTGACTTATTTATTACTTTGTTGATATGTGACTCGCATTCAATACTCAGGTATGATCACAAAAAAAGATAAATTTTGCGTCGGATTTTCAACTCAGTGGGGATGAAGGAAGAAGGGTGTGTGGTTACTTATCATGGTGACTTTACTGATCTTCGTCCCTAGCTTCATACTCCTAGCGAATGAAATAATCTGGTTGTACTCAGCGTCGGATTGTCGCACTTTCCTTTTTTTCCCTTTATTTTTATCTATTTATCTTAACTTTCACTATAACAGTGCTACGATAAGTGCGAAGAAACGTGTCCTTTGCCTTCTTCCCCATCCTGGTAATTTCCTAAAGGTACTCATTTCTATTTTGTAGGCGCAGCCAGTTCAGAGATAGTTCAGAAGCTTGAACATAAGTTATTGAACAAATATGACAAAAGTGTGATTCCCAAAACAACACTGGAGAGCGGGGTTACCGTTACATTGGATTTGGCATTGAATCAAATTATTGATGTGGTAAGTTTAACAGCTTGAAATTGAAAAAATTTTGTCAGGAAAAATAAGAAACCAACGAGGAGCGTTGACGTAACAAAACGATAACCTTACAAACCCAGCCTAGCCAAACACAGATTCCTACTATAGGCTTTAGTGATTGTGTTTTATAGCTTTCAATTTTGCCTGAGATACTATCTCGCTGGTGGGACTGGCTGATAGCTTGTCTGTAAGTCTGCCTCTTGTTCGGTCAGCGCTTTGACGCTTTGAATTTTATATCTTGTTGCAGAACAAGCGAGCCCAGACAATGACATCAGTGATTTGGGTGCGTCAGGTAAGCAAAAATTTGATTATGGTTGCCCCGTTACCTAAAGAAACGACCATAAGAACATCTTTAGTATCCATTACACAACGGAGTATGAGGTGTTTGGCTGATATTGAGAGCTGTTACATGACGTAAATTATACTCGAATATAATTTAAAAATTAAACGAGACTTAACTGTAAGTTGAAGTTTGATTGTAATTCTATCCGTCACCAAGCACTGAGAGATTACGTGTGATAGCATTGCGCCTGCGCGAACTCAGTTATTAAAGCACTTACCATGTGTACAGTCAAGAAAATCCCTGTCAAACTAGTGGGAGGGCCTGATATGGGAGGGCACGTAATCCCTCACGGATAGAATTACAATCAAACTTCAACTTACAGGTAAGTCTCGTTTAATTTTTAAATTCTATTCCGTCACCGCACTGAGGGCTCACGTGAGACTTCAAAGCCCACTGTACACATGAATAAAATAATGAACACTAAAAAACAGGGTTCATAGCCGAAGCAGTTTGGTACCTTTAATCTTGTAATAAAACGGTAGAAAAACTGTGTTGACAACGGGTTTCTTATAAAACTTGGCAAATGTGTCAGATGAGCTCCACCCTGCAACTGATAGGATATGCTCTAATTGGACAGATTTCAAAAATGCCCTAGAGGTTGCAGCAGCCCTAGCGCTGTGTGGCTTACAAAGGTTTACATCAATCCCAGATTTTTCCATAACTGTTTTGACCCATCTACTGATGGCGTCCGGAGAAACAGGTTTAAATGGCTTAGAATAACTAACAAACAACTGGTGTGCACCTCCACGTAAGGCAAAGGTGCGGTCAAGAAAAGCCTTCAAAGTAGTAACAACACAAATGTTGGGGTTACCCGTATATGCTACAAACTCAACAACAGTGGGTTTAGACCCTGGCTTAGATTGTTTTAAAGGTTTGGAAATGATAAAAGTCACAGAAGTTTCAGAAACAACCATGTTCTCCAGAGACAAGTGGTGAATCGTTTGCATCCGTTGAGCTGACACCACCAGTGACATTACAGTGACCAGTTTTATGTCAGATCTTTAAGAAAGCCCTCTGTAGTAGAGGCTGATAGTTTCGAAAGAAACTGTTTGGGGCTGCGTCGGTGGGAGTAACGAAATAATTTGGATATATCAATAAAGTTGAAATGGTCAATTGGCCATCGTAACGATTACAAAAGCTGACGCTTCGAGCGAAGGGCTAACGCGAAGGGCTAACGCGAAGGGCTAACGCGAAGGGCTAACGCGAAGGGCTAACGTGAAGGGCTAATGCTCGAAGCGTCAGCTTTTGTAATCGTTACGGTGGCCAATTTACCATTTCAACTTTGTTGATATATCCAAATTACTCTGTAGTAGAGATTGACTTAGATAGTTCATAGGACTGCCGGACAATCTGCAAACTATCAGAGTCATTTTCCTGATTAAGGGGTAAACTTCTTGTTTCATCCCCGGCATTTGTAAGGCAGTCCTCTGTGACGGTAGTACTCTTGGAACATCCACCAACATGTGAAGAAGTTTGGTGTACCAACTTTGGGTTGGCCATATTGAGACTATCATGAAGCCTTCTGCATAGTCCATCTGTATCTTCTGTAGACACCTGGCAATTAAACTGAAAGGGGGAAAAGCATAGAAAAACTGTTTACCCCGTGTGATAGAGAAAGCATCAATAAATGCTGCTCCTGGATCAGGTTTCCAGGATACATAACATGAGACCTGATGATTTAATCTGGATGCAAAGAGATCTATGGAGGGTTCCCCCCAGATTTCTGTAATCTTCTGGAATATGTCAGGTCTTATCATCCATTCCTTGTTGTCAGAAATGTCACGTGATTCTCGGTCAGCCTCAACATTTTTTATCCCTAGAATATGCGCAGCTGTTAACCATATTTGTTTATCTATGCACCACAGCCAAATGCCTTTTGCAATAGTATTACATTCTCTGGAGTGTGTATCCCCCATAGCATTAATATAGTTCACAGTTGTAGAGTTATCCGAGTAGATCAGGACATTTATGCCTTGCTCATTTTTGCAAAATGCCTAAAGTCCAAAAAATGCAGCCATCAGCTCTAAGCAATTGATGTGGTATTTTGCCTCTTCATCTTACCACCTACCCCCTGTTTTTCGGCATCTTTGACTGCTCCCCATCCTTTTGTTGACGCATCAGTATAAATGATTAGATCAACCTTTGAGTTAGTTAATAATAATTATGGGGTAGTTAAAAGTTGGTATGTTATCATACCACCACTTTATCTCTGAAACACTTTCATGTGATAATTTCATGAGCTTTGTAATTGCCTTTATTCTGTCTTAAGGCAGTAGTTTTGTCCATCTCAAGGTGTCTATAAAACAGTGGTCCATGTAAGACCCCAGGGAAACTTGATACTAGCAGTCCTATAAAGCTTGCCAGTTCCTGAATTGGTAGCTCAGTGAGTTCCATCATTTTCTTACAATTTTCCTGAAAACGCTGGATTTTTTCCTGTGCTAGGGACACAGTCATACTAACTGAGTCCAAAACAAATCCCAGAAATGTAAGTACTTGCACTGGCTTCAGGACTGACTTTAGCAGGTGTAAAATAAAACTCAATTTTGAGAATAAATCACAAATATCACTAATATTGGCTTGGCAGTCTTATATGTTCTCCCCTTGTAAATAGGAGTCATCAATATAGCCAACATTCAAGTGGCCCTTCTGGCACAGCATACACTGGCTTAAAAATTTTTGTGAAGAGTCTGGGTGCGCAAGCGAGCCCATTTGGGAGGCAGATGAACTGAAACAATTTACCTCTCTCGCAAAACCTCAGATATTCTTGATCTTCAGTGTGAATGGGTACTGAATAGTATGCATTGTGCAAATCTACTGAGGCCATATAACAGTTGGGAGTCATAAGCCTGATTGCTGATTGAAGTGTATCCATCTTAAAATGCTGATACTCCACATGCTTATTCAAATTCTTCAAATTAAGAATTAATCTATGGCCCCCATCTTTCTTGGGGCGTACAAATATAGTAGAGATGTATTCACCAGGACAATGTGAGGTTTCTGAAAAAACACCTTTCATCAACAGTTTGTCAATTTCCATGTCAATGACCTCCTGCTCTAGTTGTGTAAAGTTAATTTCTTTTGGTGGCATACACTGTTGTGGCTCTCCATTCTCAAACTCAATTTTATCATGTTTCACACTATTAAGTATGAAAAGATCTGAGGTTATGCATTGCCACAGAGAGGCAATTGTTTCAGGTGGCCACCTATAATGTCAACAGATTGCTCTGACATATTTAGGAATCTGAGTCACTTTGACATCCCCTCCTTCTTCTTGAAGGTCTGACGATGTTTGTGTTCGTTTTTCCACGAGCCTAAAAAATGCTTCCTGTAATACTGGTGCCCTGGGCACATAAAAGTTGTGCCTGTGATAATCAGGCTTGGCCATTAATCTGCCACTGTGCGTAAACATTGACTTTCTTACCCGTGCGGTTGACCCTCGGTCAACTCTTTCACCTGTTTAGGGAGATCATCACCAAATAATTGGTCGGTGATTGCCAGCGAGGAAGAGCAAAGGTGTTTATATTTGTCACATAGATCAGGTTTAATCAAGTCTCTTAGTCTTTGGTTTAGTTCACTATTTACATTAGCAAACAAGGCTAGCCCATCTGTTGACTGTTGTAAAAGGTCGTTTCCCTTTGGAAACAATGGTATATGATCTAAAAGTGTGTTTATCATAGTAGTCAACACACACATTCCTTTGAAGAGCAATGTCTGCACCTTTTGCAGTCTAACACCTTGGGATCGAAGTGCTGGAGTTATATGATCCCATATTGATTGATTTACTCGGACTTTTGTCAGTGACTCACAGTTTTCTGTTCTGTGATACTTATTCAATTTTTCCTGAAGTTTTTCTTCAAGCAGGCCCTCTTTGGCAATGGCATTAACCACATTGGCCAGCTCTGCATTAATACTTGGGCCCGTTTCCTCTTTCTTTAGCTCTCGCTTTAAGCTATTAAGCACTTCAAATTTTCCTTCATTAGAAGGCGTTTGCTGAGCCCCAGCTGAATCAGTCAGCTTTGTCACAGCTTCCTCGAAGCCTGTAGTTTTGTTATCTTTTTTCTTCTTCGCAGCGGGCTCCCCGTTGACCTAGTGGTTATTAAGGACTTTAAGCAGTCAGGACGGCAACGCTACGGAAGACGTCGATTAAAAAATGAGTTTCTACTTTTAGTTAGAATTTCGAAAATGGCTGCATGTGTTTACCGTCTCATAGGGCACCAGACCTCAAACTCAACATAACGCATAAAAGTAGCGTTGAGTTCCAAATGCAAATTAAAATTATTTGCCGCCGCGGTTTCGCTTCGCAGACGACGCAAATTTTGGTGATTTCACGTTGTTGTTTTGCAAAGGACGGCTAAGAAATGTACAAAGTTTTAAAACGCACGAGCTGGGCTATTGTTCTGCCGATTAGATCTATTGTTTTTCCTCGTTCTCGTTGCCGTAGCCGTCGTGGCTTGCTTAAAGTCCCTAATATTCTCGGTCTGCGGAGTTTCCTCCTGTTCTAAGCCGTCCATGTTTTCGTACTCAAATTCTGACTGGAGCAGTTTGAAAGACTCTACAATAGTCTTAGATAAATCCTGAGACATCTGGACAAATCCCTGTTTCAACGAAGCGGTCAACTCTTGTAGTTCACTTTTGGCGCCAAGGGCGCCATCAACAGTTTCGACATTCGCTTCGATATGCTCGTTTTGAGAAGCACTATTTCTCCTTTTAAGTTGTCTTTCTTGCCCTTAGGCTCAACATTAGTTGAACTTTTAGGCATTCTTGGCAAATTATCGCTCTGAAGACAACAGCAACAATCTTTAAAGTCGAATCCTGTGCTGACTTTGGTTCGCTTTCGAAGGCGGCAACACACTGAGTTCGCGCAGGCGCAATGCTATCTCACGTGAGCCCTCAGTGCGGTGACGGAATAGAATTTACCTCTAGCCTCTCTCTATATCCCTCTAACTATCCCTTCCATTTCGCTCTTCCCCAGTTCCCATCTCGGTGTGAGTCATACGTGAGAGTTAATCTACCCTTAATATACAAACTCGCCTTTGCTAAACTAGATAAAAAGTAACGGAAAGACCGTAATTTATCATAGAGTTGGTATAACTGGTCTACAGGACAATCAATCATCATCAATTTATTTTCTGTCAAAACTTCGAAATGAATAAATTCGAATTTGGTTTTCATGTTCCTAGTATTGGAGTGATCACAGACTTCGATGGAATTCCTCTGAGTATGATGACGTAAAATCAATTGTGACACAAGCAAGCTATCTGTGGCTCCCAGACATCACGCTGTATAACAAGTATGTTTTGCTCTACGCACACTTATGTACCTTAACTTGCTAGTTTACGATAAAAGTTCGTTTAGTGTCCCACCTGATTCTCTTCATGCAATTATCATTTGGCCATAACTTTGTATGCTACAAAATTTGATACCATGTGATCTCTTGTAGTGCAAAGGATGATTATAATATTGATAAAGAATCGTATCACAGCCTGACCATAACTTCAGATGGAAACATATCAAGGTACTTCCCGACTATCTACAAATCCTCTTGTAAGCTGGAAGTCAAGAATTTTCCCTTTGATGACCAGGTAACAATTTTAAAAATTTAATCTTATATAGGAAGATTTTTGCAGACAGAATCATGTAAGAGAAACAAGCCTCGCTTGACGGAATCTTGTTCACTCTTTCGCAGGTTTGCACTCTGAAATTGGGCTCGTGGTCGTACAACATTTATGAGATGAATCTTTTTAATGTAGGCGATGGTGACACTAGCTCATTTATTGCTAATGGGGAGTGGATTCTTCAAAGCATGCCCTCAAAAAGACACGTGACTAAATTTCGTTGTTGTCCCCATCCCTACGTGTATCTAACATACAACATTAACATCAAGCGAAGGTCTTTGTACTACGTGCTCAACTGTTTTATGCCGTGTCTGATCATGATGGCCTTAACAATCCTTTCGTTCTACTTGCCCTCAGAAAGTGGAGAACGGATGGGCGTTGGTATAACAGTGCTCTTGTCGTTGAGTATCATTCAGTTGATATTATCCGATTCCCTTCCACCCACCTCAGAAGTACCGCTCATTGTTGTCTACTATGGGCTTACCATGTTAAATATTTTTATGTCCTTGGTTTTCTCTTGTGTCGTTCTTACTTTGTATCATCACTCTGCTATTCCGCTGCCTCGCTGGATGCGAACTTCATTGTGTGACTGGGGGGCAAAATTGACCCGCATGCAACAAGAATGGGTAATAATACAAGAAAAGAGGAAACAGATAGAGATGAAGCAGAAATTCTCATCTAACGACATCCTTACTAAAGGTGCTGTAGTGAACTGGATGCCAGAAATTTCGTTGCCCTCTCAAACACCGACGACGGAACTCGTTACAGGTCAAAGCCTTGATGAGCGGTCAAGCGAAACAGAAAATGACTTTTTACTAAGCCAAAGATACCATGAAGAGGACAAAGCGCAAATGCTTTGTGAAGAATGGAGATTTGCTTCACGAGTAATCAATAAATTCTTTATGTGGATAGTCGTCATGGCCATTATAAGTAACGCTTTGTATGTAGTTCTTAAAGCCCCCAGAGGGAATTTCATTTTGAATTGAAAATGATATACTCTATACAAGCCAGAATTCTGAAATCTGACAGTCCAATCAAAAGATGGTTCTAACTAAGGAATTTAACGATACCGCTGGTGCCAGAGATTTTCACTTTCTTTTACTCCTCGCAAGAAGTCGAGACGAGATACAATCAAGGATTACGGTTTCTTTTTCTCTCTCGCTGCAGTCGCAGCGAAGAGAGGAGGAGGTAGGGAGGAGATGAAGAACATAAATGAGACGTAGGGGGCCATCCAGGCCGGCCCACGATAGGGAAGAATGGGGAGATTTCTTCACTGCCCTATGAGCCAAGACGCGCGACGGGCAGTAAGTAAGAAAGCAGTCACAATCATAGCTGGACCTTCACATGAGGAACCCTCGTACTGAGAATACCTCAACTAAAGAGTTAAAATTATCAGAGTTATAAAAGAAGGATATGTTCATAAAGGAAGGCCATCGCAATTATTACATCATTTACTCCATTGCAGCCATGGCACTTTGCATCTCCCAAGAATATTGTAACTGATAGGAAACCGAGATATATCAGTATACACCCTTATATAAGAGGGACGACACATTTTGTCAGTAGATTTGTCAGTAGAAGTTTGCGAGCCATTTTCGCGAAGATGGGGACAGATGCCACTTGAAGTTGAAAATGGTAAAGGTTTTTTGTTACCTATTCTGTAGTGGCTATTAGATTGAACACGGGCCTGAAGGTGGTGGCCAGGGCAGAGTCCACAATTAACAGAACTTGTTGGCGAGGTCAGTAAAATAACCTGTTGATTAAGTTTCTGAAAACTGAATGTTGGAAATGAGTGCTCCAATGGATAGATGAGAGCGCAGTTGTTTGAGATCTCTAGTCGAAGATGTTGGATGGGAATACGAAGGCCGAATCAACAGCCCTAATTTATGATTTCTCCCATGAAGGAAGGAGCAGATCATTCGAAGTGATAATGTACATATAAGTTTTCGGCTTCACCAGTATAAAAGAAAAAAAATAACGCGTGATGTTTATCACCTTTCCAGTAGTCTGATTAATTTGATGAGTTCATTTTGGGCAATTCGACCCAACGAAGCTAGACTGAGGAGCTTTTGATGCGAAGTAAGGTGTCCATCCCCGCATGTAGTAAGTCTTGTGTCACCTGAAATGTTCCTATTCTAATCTAAGCAGATTGAAGTTCCCTCAAATGTCTAGACAGTCAGACGCTTTGCGCTGTATCAAGAGTTCTGGAATGCAGTGCTGGATAACTGTTTGCAGCGGAAAAATTTTCTGTATTGTCGGAGTTTTGTGTAGTTGTTATGCTAAAAAATATTTTTGTATTTTGTGTTAATTTTTTGAGAAAAAGAAGCTATATTGGGTCATCAGAGCAACAACAATTGTATCGTTTTATTCTGAATTTTTGGTGTTCTTTCGTGATCTGTTGTTTATATATATTTTGGGGTTATCAAAACATTTAGTGATTCCAATCATCTTAACAAAAACAAAAACAGAACAGCACGTATCGGGAATTGTTGAACATTTCAAGTCAACTCCTTCTCAGGAATATAAAATTAAACCCTTTTAACTTTAAACTGATCCCTCCATGACTAATAGTTTTTACATCAATAAATTTTACTGCCACAATTTCTGGGAAAAAAAAAAACACTCTCTAAAACTAATTAAAAGTATGTCACTCTTAAGCCAGTTTCTGTTGATAAAATAGATTGCTTTGATAAAGGTATAACGAATACCGTGTGGATGTCATTAGTCATGTTGTTGTAAAAAGCTTCACCCGTTGTCAAGAACATGATCCGCATATTTACATTATGGGTTATTAGTAGATGAATGGTAGCATTTTCCTGCCGTCTTGGCTTACACTAATACCTCTTGTATGTTTAAATAAACACGTCGCAAGTAGTATTACAAATATATTATCTGTTGACGACTTTCTTTAACATCCGGACTCGATCTTGAACTGAAGGAATTTATAAAATATATACGAAAATCAGCCATGGCGCAATGAAAAGCTGATAAGTGTCTTTAAAAATAACTACAGTAAAACTTGTATCATGCGTTTAAAGAGGCTAAATCATGGGTGGCCTTTGATTCGCAGAGATTTATCTCGTTTTTGCAAATCTGATGTGACTTCATTACAGGTCATTGTTGAAACAGGGTCCATCATCAGTTCAAAGTGTAAATGAAAGAAAAACATCGATTTAGGACTTAATCGAAATTCCGAACAAATACACATACTCTAAGTGAGCAATCACCCTGTTTGCAGAGAAAACATCCACTGTGTTCTTCTCTCTCATTTCAAGCACAAATACAACACTCAATTCAAGAGATGGCGCGATACCATTAAAAAATGAACAGCTACAACATCTCACAATTGATGTCAAACAAAAAAATGGAAAGGAAGTGCTATGTGAACGACGACTAGATCAGCTAAAATAAAACGATGCTTTTGGGTGAAAAAGCCAGCACACGTACATAGTAAATGCACAGCAGAAATTCTGTCTGAAAGCTGTGCGCTATCGTTTCCGCCGGTCCCTTTGTCCTCTCAATCAGAAAAAAAATGAAATAAAGCTATTGTTGCAGTACACACTTCTTCCCGTGCCTTGGTAGCTTGATTCCAGCCCTTTTTCGTTCTTTTGCCCGTCGATTTTGGAACCACGTAACGACTTGGCGTTTCGACACACCTAGTAAGTTTGCAAGCCATTTTCGCGAAGATGGAGACAGATACTGCTTGAAGTTGAAACTATCTTCAAGAGTCTTAATCTGCACTTCAGAGAACACAAACTTTTTGGTTGAATTTGTTGATCCCTTGGTAAGCCTCGGATTAAACGATCGTCTTTTTGATAATAATACTCGATCTACGTCTAAAAAAGACTCTTCAGTGAAGTAGTTGGCTACAAAATCCTCCAGCACTGAGAGAATGGACTTCTGTCGATTGCATCCTCTTGTGTAAAAATGATACCCTGACTGATCGGGTACGAGTGCAAATGAAATCTCCTTTTTCGAGTAAACGCGTTTGAACGCAGATAATCCATTTTGATTTTCAGCCGATTTTATTTGAGGGAGCGGCATTTCGTTTTCTAACTCCGGAGTATCTATGTAGGATTTGTCCACAGCAATAAGTTGTGCTTGTTTATGCAAATCGTCACCGAGTTATCTAAGTGTTTGATAGCAGCGATCCAGGGGAGTGCCCGGCTTAAGATACGGCTGCGTCTAACAATTTTTTTATCATATCAAAACTGCAATGCATTGACCGCGCCTGTACAATAAACAGGAGTGGGGTGATTTACATCATAAGGCGGTTTATACAGTGATTTTTCACAATCTCTGAAGGTCATCTCCAAGTAAGTTGAAGCAGGTTGCTTTGTCTGCAATCTTCATTGAAGAAGAAAGTCTTGTCGTTCTAGGAAATTTATTTTGGATTTAACAAAAACTAGAGCGACTCCGGCGAATCTCTGGGTAATCTGTTGAATGTCCACAGGCTAAACTACAGTATATTGATGAAGGCCACCAAATTGTCACGTAGTTTAACCATCTCATTTCGTCTCATCATCCCTGGCGTCTGCTGACGATGGTGCTGACCGGAATTAATGCGAAAGGAGCAGTAGAGGCTGGAAGATGACAGAGGTTTGTCATGTATTTGGACACTGTTGTAAAAGCTGTGCGTTGCTTTGTGCAATTTCAAAATAATACCGCAAGGACTTTCTTTTGGTCTGATACGAGCGCACTGATTCTTGGCATATTTCCCGGAGAAATGATAAATTTGACTCACATTCAAACAACAGCTAAATCAAGACATTGGCACTACAGAAAGTCACTTGATAATAAGTCTTTGGCAAAGATCAACTTCAAACTTTCCTCACGACCTTTTCACTTGATTATGACCACGGCTCAGTTGAGAATTCTGTGATGCTGAGTGGCGAAAGCATCCTCCAGCACGAGAGGGAATCACAGTAAAGCGATAGTTGGAGCAGAAAATTACAGCACAACTTCGATAGGCTTCATTAGTAACAATCCCTCACAGCATGTCTTCGAGAGAAGATCTGATGATCGCTTCGAACGCACTGAGTCAGTCAAAAAAAAAACGTATAGTTTATCTATAGATTATCTTGCTGGGTATTACATCTTTTCTTACTTACCATAAATTCACAAGTTTGTTATTATTATTATTATTTAAATTTTGTAGACACACTTTAGTTTGTAGGTCCACATCAGCTTTTTAGCTGCCTTTTATAGACCTACGGGACAAATAAAGTAGGTATGTATGTAATAAAGTATGTACGTATCCACCCTCTACATTTTCATTGGATTTCACATCGATACCTGCCCGGGGGAATTCTTAGAGGAGGTTCAAAGTGACTTCTGAAATATTGTCTACTGACAAAGTAAATCTAACTCCTTCAGTGATTGAAACTAGGTGAAACTAGGTGAATAATTTGGATATATCAACAAAGTTGAAATGGTAAATTGGCCACCGTAACGATTACAAAAGCTGACGTTTCGAGCGTTAGCCCTTCGTCGGAGCGAATAGAGGAATTGTGGGTTGTGCGTGCTTTTAAAGGTGGAAAATGGAGCTACGTTATTGGTGGGAACATGGCAACGAGAAAAACAAGAATAAATTAGTGGAATGAAAAGCGTTCGTTGATCCCTGTGGGATTTAGACTGCCGGTTTGAAAGATGAGCTTTTGTTCAAGATTTTTACGGCTTTCCGTGCTACCTAAGTGTAAGGAAAGACCGCAGATTGCCATATGTTGCTTAGAATGATTAGGTAAATTAAAATGTCTAGCGACTGGTTTCGATGTGTCCTTGTCATTCCTTTCCACGTCTCGAAGGTGTTCTCGGAATCGGTCACCTAGTCTTCTGCCTGTTTCGCCGATGTATATCTTTTTGCAATAAGTGCAAGTTATGCAATAGATTACATTGGCGGAGGTGCACGTGAAGTGATCGGTGATCTTAATGGATCGTTTAGGTCCCGATATTTTATCAGTGTTGTGAATGAAAGGACACGTTTTGCATCGTGCACGAGCGCATTTAAAAGTGCCTGGTTGGTCATTAGTCTGAAAAGAACTTCTGACCAAAAAATTGCCTATGTTTTTGTCGCGTTTGAATGAAATGAGCGGAGGCTGCGAAAAGATAGTGCTTGTCTCTGGATCGTTTTGAAGTAATTTAAAGTTTTTAAGAATGATGGATTTAACTGAGTGGTTGTGAGGGTGAAACGTGAGAGTGAATGGAATGCGGTCGGAATCTTCCTTATGCGACGTTTGTAGTGCTGAATGTCGATCAATAAGTTGNAACGATTTAGCTGACCCCCTGTCAAATGAACAATTTTTTCTGAGAAACGGCCCCTACGCTTCACAGTTTGTATTGGACACTCCTTCGTTTCTTGTCTTAAAGACACCCTCCACAACATAAACATTAATGGAGTGAAATCAGGCAATTTAGTGTTTCTTGCTTTATCAAAATGGCTTTAGGGTTTGCAACTTGTTCAATATCATGTTCAAAGTAAAGTTAGCCGTCCTTGGCCTCCTCAGTCTCAGTTAGGGACACGACTATCCGTGCAAAATGAGCCAAACATCGACAGACATTGAAAGGGTTATGGATAACAACACCTAGTGAATGGACTGGATAGTCTGCTATTTATAAACTCTCGTAATATTTCCGTCAAAAGGAAATTAGGCTTGTCGAGCCTGAAAGATAAGACCGCCAAAAGGAATAGGAAATAATCAACTGCTTACAGTAACTGAATGGCTTTTTCTAATATATGTTATTTTTTATTTTCTTAAATAAGTTTAAAAATACACTTAAATGAAAATTCTTGCAAGATGCCAATTGTCTTTTAACAATATCCATTTCTCTTTCTTGATTGTCCGCGTTTGAACTTATTTCTACTTTCCCCATCAACTGGTGGCCATGTTTACTCTCTATCACGAGCAAAAAACGTTGAGCTCTTTGATGAAATAATCACATGATTAAGGTCAGTCGGACTTCAGCCATGTATCATCTCGGGTCATGGTTCAAATCATCCTGCGACGGTTCTTCTTGAGGTATTGTGTCACTTGGCCCCTTCATGTTTTCCTCGATTTGTTGCCTCAGATCCTCCATATCAGTTCCCTCTACCTGAGCTACTGTCTAATAAATGCACAAAAAGGAGAAATTCTTTTCGTTGAAAGTTCATGACATGGAAAGAAGTCGTGTGAAAGGACTACAGTAAAATTATCCAATCATTAGCTAATATATCAAATACCTGTTCGTTCCAAATGAGTTTAAATGTAGGCAGGGACGTGATTCTCTGTTGGTGTTTTATCACCTGTCAATAACCACATTGAGAGTAAAAAGGAGAACCGTTCATGTTTAATTAGCCTGTACTAGGCGTTCAGTTGGCGTCAGTCAGCTAAATATAACAAATGTAACAAACAGAAACCTAGATTTGCCTCATGTTGAATTTCGCAAATTTCCGCGCAACCAAAAAACTGATTTTAAAACAGGACTCTATGAAGAATCTTAGCCTGCAGTGCCGGCGTATTTTGGGCGCACGAGTGCACATTTTCGTATTAGGCCGCCATGTTAGATTTGGTAACTGTGGAGGATTGGGGCGAGGAAATATTTGCCGAGGGAGTAAGTATTAAGTGGAAAAATGGGCCCATTTTCCCACTTAACACCCACTCCCTCGGCAAATATTTCCTCGCCTCAATCCTACACAGTTACCAAATCTAAGATGGCGGCCTAATACGAAAATGTGCACTCGTGCGCCCAAAATACGCCGGCACTGCAGGCTAAAGAATCTCGAAAGACATGACTTCCAAGGCAAGACAATCAGAACGATATAACAGGCGCCAAACCAACATTTGACAATTCTACTAGACGAAGAGACTAATATTAGTGTTAGTGATGTCACCAACCTTCAACTGGTCGATGTTAACCCGTACAAATAAAACTTGTCTGTTCATTCCATATTTAGCGTTTAACGAATCGTATGGGTCTGAAACAGACCTACATAATGAACACCTGTAACAAAACACAATAGCATTTTTAACTTTCTATTTCAAAGGCTCAATTCCATGAAGTTTTGTTAAAGTAAAACGAAAAGTGAACTAGGTGGATTCTTGTCACAAAACAAAACTGTTAAAAGTGGCCTTGGCGACAATGTCAGGAGTAAGCTACTAAGCAACATGACCAAAAAGGTCTAAGTTCAGTAGCTTTACGTGGAAACAATAGAATATAAGAGGAAAGAATTACCAAAGTGACGAAATGAGTCGTATTAGCTTACCAATTGGCATAAAACTGAACAACAATAAGTTTGTCCCGCTCACTCTGTATTGATTGCCAGTCGTCGAGTTTCGTGATATTTCGTACACCGCACACTACAATAGAAACAAATGATAAGGTACAATTGTACATTATTGTGAAATATTTCGGATGAAGACTTTCTCTCACTTCGGAACGTCATTTAGGTCTACCCTCATGGATCATGCCCACAGGCGGTTGTATGATACTAGCTAGTGTGACAGCTCTCTTATCCGCAAAGGTCATTCTTAGTTCAATCAGAAGCTTATAATCTAGGTCATGAGCTTCTGGTTTAATACATCATAATACAGAGACTGTGGATCGGTGAAAAGATGTCGACTAAGGATGTAGAGTTATTCAGCTTTTTCAAGTCGTTGTGACAGGATTATTTCAGTGTATAACTAAAGCTAAATGAAAGGCATTTTCGTTCTATCATGTCACGAATGTAGCGACAGTATTCCGAACTGGATGAACGGGTTATGTATCTTAACAACACGATAGGAATATAAAACCTTAGTCTTTCATCGTACGTTTGAAATTGTGGGTCAAACTTAACATTGAAATACCTCAACAAAAACAATAGGCTGCAGTATATCAAAAAGGACGCTGGGTTTACCTGCTCCCTCTCCCTGAACGACGACGCCTTGTTGATCCGTTTTCTGCACCACAACAGTTGCACGAGTCACCAAACCTACACATCAAGTCCAATCATACATTTCATTCTCACAACTCTGACGAAAAAATTATTTTCGATAAGTGCTTCTAGAAGCGTAAAGCCTACGTTTTAAAGTCCTAAATTTATTAAAATCAAAACTTAAACGAAATCATCAAATGATCTGACGTATGTACAGCACAAGAATGAGACTGCTCAACTATTGTATGTAAATATAAAAGAAACGTCAAATGAAACTTTGTGGAAAAAGAATGAAAAAATCATCAACAGGAAATTCCGTATATGACTAACGTGTGCCACGAATTTATTGTCTAAGGGAAGCATTCGACTCTCTCATGATTAATTTGTACCTCCAATATGGAACCATATTGAAGACGTTATGTACATTGTATTTTTGTGGGCGTTTACTCCGTTCTTTTATTAACTTAAACGATTCCTTCTCACTGTTAACAGCTTTTTAACGTGTAGGGACCAACAAAGTTTGGTTGCACACAATTTCTTATCGTTTCATTGTGATGACTGCATCGCAACTGTGTCCAATGTAAACTATCACAGCAAGTATCATGTACGTATGTTGTGCTCTCAGTTTTCTTAGTAGTGTTTTGCTTCTTGAGAAATTTACCTCCATCCCAATGCAAAGGTCAATATTTTCCCGAAGAAAGATCATATATTCAATTTATTGGGCATTTGTTTATCGAGTGTAGACCACTTTCATAAATGGCTGCCGTATAAATATTCTTTTGTTTAAATTTAAATTAGCCCTACTGGCCTCGCTTGAGATAATGTTTTCTTTTGAATTTTGTACTGGAGAACGAGGCCAGTAGGCTAATTTAAATTTAAACAAAAGAATATTAATCCGGCAGCCATTTATGAAAGTGGTCTATGGCATGTAAATCTAAAATTATAATGTAGACTGTACCTGCTGCTTGTAAAGTACTTTCTAAGTCACAAATTCTTCTCTGTGGAAATGATGTCATAAGGGAAATGTCGTCCAAGCTTACAGCGTCATTTGTGGGCCATTGCTTTAGAACTTCTCTGTAAACAAGATAAGTGAAATTCATTTATTTATTTATTTATTTAATGATCTGTACCAAGTACTAGAGCAGAAACAATAGGACATGGGTCCCCTACGAGGTTTAAGCTCCAACAAACCCACCCATCCCACCCCAGGGGAGGACATCCATCACACAGTAATCTCGTGCGTGGGAAATTAACGTCTCCTACCCCTA